CATCCAAAGTAGGTCACGCAGGCATCTTTTTTTTTCCAATAGGACCTCAAGGGTCAAACATTTTAGAAAGTTTCCAAATTTCCCTCGGCGGCATTTGCAAAACATTGCGGCTTTATATAAAAAAAACTTTTGTCTGTAGAGATCTGAATATTTAAATGACCCTTTTGGAAAGGCCAGGCAAGAAAGGGTCGCAAAAAAGGATCCGCCATTGTCAGGCGAGCAAACAAGGGATTTTTGGGTACCCATCACATATTCTCGAATTGAGCATGCATAATAAAAGCTGAAAATATGTCTTGGAAAAGATTGCGTTATAAAGTCATGGCAGTGGGAGTGAATCCGTTTGAATAAATACGCAATGCGAATGTGCAATCGAAGAAGACACGACGAGACGTTCAGCGATTGCTTTTGTCATGGCTGCATGCCTTGTTTCCTAGAAGGCGTGAAAAACCTCCGAGTATATACGCGGATTGCGAGACGGCGCACACAGCATGAGATACACTACCGCGGATTGTGTGTGCATCGGATTAGTTTCGTGTCGGTCATGTTGATACCAGGAAGTGGGTGTTCGCGCTGCGTGCGTGAATTTATTTCATTGGAGTGCCGCCAACGTGCAGAATGACTTGTGAGTAGAACACGCAATAAATACGTTACATATTGTGCTGAATTTATTAACATCATATAACGCCAAAAGATATTAGTAAGAATCCAACACGGAGTTGGATGACAGTTGAACAAAAATCTAAAACCGCCCACAAGTTCATAAATATTACCTAACAAATATAACAGAAGCGGGTGGAGTAGTATAATTTAATTTATTATATGTAAATTATTCGGAAATTAGTTCGACTACGGCTACCAAAACAATTTGTTTAAATCATGTCGGGAACAATCAGCATAGATTGGATTAAATTGCCTGAAAAGATTTTACAGTTGATTAAACATTGAACAATGCAAAATTTTACACTAAGAGTGAAAATCATAAATATTTTATACAAATATAACAATTAAATTTAACAATAAATAAGTTTTTGAATATATTGCGATAATTCGCAATAAAAACGTAATAAACATTGCTAAAACTTTGTATTTTTGTTAAAAAAATTCTCTCTTTCTCAAATTCAAGGTTTTTAACCTGATATTTTATATTTTATGCGTTTTTGTGATTATTTTTAGCAAATTTAAAACAATATTCAATAATTTTAATGTTAAATAAGCGAATATTTGCAATACACACATATTTTGATGAATAATTTACGTTCTACTGCGCAATTTCATATATTTTGCCACAAAAAATTATCAAAAACAGAAAAAAATCAATAAAAACGTGTCAAATAACAAAAATTGCAAAATTTTCATGTAAAATACCGATGATATTGGTAATATTTATGCCAATTTATGCATTGGCGGCATGACCACAGTCAACACCCGCAATTAAAACATTAGTTACAGACACTCATTGTTTTCCTCGTAAGCGGTTCAATTGTTAAACGAATACAATGCACACAACATTGCTGGCGCATTGAGCGCGCCTGCTTCGCCTACCTGCTGAATGAACACACATGCACGCATTAAAATTAACAAACGATAAACGCCGAACGGTGTAGCGCATTGAAAACTAATTGAAAACAATAGACGCGACCACAATTACAACGGCCAGAATGCTTTATTGCTTCATTAGAAGTTATAAACTTGTCAGCAAAACAAAACACACGCGCAATAAAACGTAGAAAAATGCGCGGCACGCCATAAATCATTCGCGATCAGATTGGATAAACAATTTCGGTATTAAAATATACTTTCGTTTTATGCATAAACATTTGACTGTTTGATCTTTGCTTTCGTTGGATTTTTCGCGCTCTTTTAAGTTCATTTCGTGAAAAAACTTGAAAGAATTTATGTTTATTTATTCACATGCATTTATTAACTAAATTTTTGTTTATTTTTAATAATTATAATTAAAACGTATATGTTTTGTTCAAATTTTGTTTCAAATAACCCAATACTGCAACATTTCTATTAATTAGAACTAATTAATAGCTTATTAAGTAATCTGGCAGTTTAACGCTTTGAAGGTTAATTTTAACTTATGTTAATCGTGCCACACTGTGTGCATAGCATGTATAAATTAATTAATCAACTTATTTAACCTTTTTGTTCAATTAGTGCGGCTAAGCAAACGTGCAAACCGAACATGCAATAATTTTATCAACGTTTTTTCAAACAAAAATTCGATGATGATTAAAACGCCGGCTGGAGCTGATCACCAAAGGAGCTTTTTTCTAATCGAAAGCTAATCAGTAATTGTGTTTTATGTGACGTCCATCTGGTCGGATGATGTTGTCGTAATTTGATTCGAATCGATCCAATTAATGCCGCCGCAGTGATGGCCGCCAAATAACAGGAAAAATGCGGTCTCGTTTAAACCAACTGTTGAGGGTAAAAAAACCAAACAAAATGGTTATTAAACTGTTTACTAAACGATCTACTTTGTATTGGAGGATAATGGAATAGTGGGAAAATAAAATCAAAGCATTTTTTGTTCTGAAAATTTGATTTTTGACGTTGGTGAGATTTTTGTTTCTCACTGGTTAAATATGATTCTGTTAGGCTTCTAAGCTTAGAGAAAACAGTCGTTCCCACCCCATGCAAAAAGGGGACAATTAAAAAATCGTATAATATTGTTGGCACATTGGCACACGGCGGGAGTAGGAGGGATTTGTTTTATAGTTTTCTTTCGGGCGCTCCGACGCGCCTCGCCGCCACAATATATATTTCACAAATCAGTCGCGTTCGCGATGTTGTCGTCGGCCGGTTGATGGTTTGTCGTGTTCCTCCGTCATCAGGCAGTAATCGTATGCACGTGTGCAGCGGTGACGTGCGCGAAATGGCCGCCCTGCGAATACCTGCCATCATTCCCTGGCAACCATCACCTGCACAGCGCTCGTAAACTCATTCGCATTCTTTCGCACAGTCAGTGTTCTGACGTCGATCAAAGTGACCGGTTCAAAGTTCAAAGTTGACAGTTCACATGTGAACGTGCGTAATGTGCGCAGTTTTGGAGGGAAATCGCTCAGTTCCGACGGGACTCAACAATTTTTCGGTAGGTGTGTGCGACTGCTTTGGTGTAGAAATGGTGACCTGTGCCTACATCTAGGAGCAGAACGCACAAACATCGCGGTGTACGAACGAAACCCAACGACAAAAAACCAACGACGAAACACGCACAGACGCGTCGTAAAACTTTTACTATTTGTACTCCAATGAGGAGTTTTACGAGCGAACTGGCTGTCTCTGTCGAGCGCATAGTGCGAGTATTCAGCGAGTTGCTAGGAGGGGCTGCGCTCGGTTCGGTTGCCATGACTGTATCGACCTACGGACGGAGCGCTGATTGGTGAGTGTGTCGTTAGCAACGCGCGGCCATCATGGCAGTCGGTGAGACTGGGCAGGTTCTTGTTCTTGTCCTGCTAGTTGAGCTTAGGCACCATTCGAATAACACAGAGCTCAGACATACGTACCACGAAACAAGACAGAAATATAAACACATCTTTCTTTGACATATTGCATGGTGCTTTTGAAATGCAGTGGAGCTTTCAGTGCTGGAAACTCACAGATTCATGTTCATGTAGTTGTGAAGTGGAGTTGGAGTAGGAGAAGGAGAAGAAACAGATTGATCAGAGTTTAGGTACTCCACATTCATTAGTTCTTAAACAAACAATTACTTACGTATTTGGGACGAAAAACGTTAAAAATATTTTAAAATTTGTCAAAATTTTGAAGATTTTCGAATACCTACCCCCTCCATAGTTAGGATCTATACCTGTAACCCTCCTAGTGCAAGTCTGCAAGTACATGGAGGGGTATTATCCGCTTTGGTCGGCGCGCGGGAGAAGAGAGACGAATATGCAACATGGATCGCTCCAAGGGTGATTCGGCATACGCGTCGCGTTGGAGTATATTTTTATTGGTTGTATATCCGATGTATTTACTACTATCGAGACGCGTGCGGGCGCGATGCATGCCGGCCGCGCACTTTTAGGGGTCGCTATTTGTTTTTAGTCCAAGTTTCAAGTTCGTGGCGCGATAACCTTTCCGCCTAAAAGCGGAGCTCTAAAGCTATCATAACCCACCAAAAAAGCATCCATAACATCGTTTAAAAAGTGTAATCAACCTCTTTACATGTGGGACACGTAGCCGGGACTTGGATTGAAGCAGGCAGGAATTTGTGGCAAGTGGCGTGCGCTGTACCCAATTCCGAACGCGTCTATTATTTATCGCGTTCGGTTCACGCTGGTGCCATCTACATTCGGCTTTAATCGTCTGCGAAGGCCCCGAGGTCGTCGCCTTGAAGGTTTGTGTGTGCGCACGCGAGTCGTAAGGCAACATTTCGGCTTTTTCCACGACCACCACCACAGACTATTGTGTTATTGCCGCCTGCGCGAACGTTATAACCGGCTTGATTGTGTTCGTGTTTGCTTGTGTATAAACGCACGCACACTGCGATAAAACGACCGTTAGTTCGGCGATTCGCCGTCGTTTTGAACATCGTTCATGGGCAGCAGCACCTGCTTACGAGGAGGGAGATTTTAGGCTCTTTTATGGCCGCGAACACTCATTTTGCTCGAAGCCATCGCGCAATCAACAACGGTACCCGTTATCCGACGGAAAACAACACTACAGAGTTACTAGAATCAAGGTTAACAACTTTAGTAGAAAACCACTACAACTCACGACGATTAGTGGACATTCGATGATTTTAATATAACTAATTAGTTGGTTTTTTGTTGCTGAAAGTTTGGAGTTATTTGTATCGCGCAGACTCGTGCACTGTTCATATTTAAAGAGAGGTTTATTTCGACCACGCACAGGAGAGGGAATAAAACGGGAATGGCGGTGTATTTGCATGCACGATTGTTACACGTTTCGCCCATTTCGGATGTACCGGGTTAGCGTGATCACTTTAGACCTTTCAGGTCAGGCTTACCAAAGCATCCAACAACACGCACACAAACAAAATTTATTAAATTCACTTCAATCAATAAAAAATCATTACAAATAAATTTTGATCACATTTCGGCAATTATTAACAATTTATAAAATTGTATGCAATTGTATTTTGTTGCATTAATGCTGTACTGTAACAGATAAAAGGTCCTTCTCTCTTGTGTCTCCTGTTCTCTTCACAAATCATGTTGGCGCGACCGAGGCGCGACTCCTTTATACTTTATACCATTCGTTGGTCTGAAGAGCTGGCCCGCTATCTGCCCGAGGACGGCGTCGAGTTTTAGTGGAGCACACGAAAAGCGGTACATACTAAAACTTGTAAAATGAACGGGTAGCTTGGGGGGTTATAAAGTCTGTACGGCCAACGCCGAGTGAATACTCGGCTGACATTCGCATCTGTAAGTACAAACTTGACGATTCCCGTTGCAGCTTGTGCAAGCAGCAAGCTGCAACTGGAATTTCCTCACAAAGTTGCCTGATGCCGACGGAGCACACAGCGCGTCAACTTTGAGACGCTCCCAGAGGGCGTTCGCTGCGAAAGTTAAGTTTTCTCTGTGCTAAAACACAAGCGTCAGCAACAAGCAAGCAACTATCACGAAGGTATCATATTTTCGATGAGTGTGTGTATAGTCTGTGATTTTTTTACTCTTTGATTGTTTGTTCTGCTTGTTTTTTGCACTGTTATCAAATCTGTGGACAAGTCAAAGTAGTGTTTCGAGTAGTTCGACGCCGGACACGTTCCGTCCGCCGTCGAGCGCCGGATAGTTAATTAAGTTTACGACTTCTTCACTTTACGCTTTCAAATCTCTTCGTTTTCTTGCCGCTTAATTTGTTTGCACATTTATTTATTTCTATTAAAAATTTATTTCGTACTTTTACAGCGCTATAGCTTTCATACGTTTCGCTGCACTTAATCCGCGCAAGTTTTGCGCAAAATATAAATTTTACTTCTGGCTTTAAATCTTGGCACGTCAGCACGTACAATGTATATATCTGTGGCGCATTTTCATTGCACTGCATGCCTTCCAGCGTTTGTTATCTTGGCAATAGTTACTAGAAGTTCAACTTCGATAAAACAATAAATCGAACTCATGTGGAAGCAAAGCGCTTTAGTTTTTGCTTCTTTGTCGATGCAGGCGCATGCGTTGCGAAATTTGTGTTGTTATCACGTTTAGTTTACAACTTTTGCTGGTTGAAAACACAATTCGGTGACTTGTGAGAAAGAATTCGAATGTGTTTTGTTCGTGCGCTTGTTTTTATTCCTCTCGGCATGGTGTAAAGCAATGTAGACAACGATTATGTTCGAAATTTACCGATGTCTTCGTTTATCACATATCATCGAGGCTAATCCTTTTGTTATCTTTACGATTTTACGTTTTTCCAATGACTAAATACAGAAATAATAAAAATCAATACTTTGCACAACTAATTCTCATCTAAAAGCCAAGTTTTTATTTTTATTCTTTAGTTACTTATCCAATTTTTACGTTTTTGTTAGTTATGCATCGTTGGATACTTTAAAAAATTTTTTACGCGTTTTATCTCACTGACCGTTAGCCAAATGGAAACCAAATGGAAAGAGTTTCAAAAGGAAAACGCGTTTATACAGAAAGTTAACGTTTTCGCAATTCAAACTTTATCGCCAGCGATCACATCGAATCGTTAGATGTAAAACCGTCTAAAAGTCAAAAGTCCGCGAGAATTTACGCAGATGCTGCACTCGCTCAACTCGAACAAATTGCCACCGCGGCCAATTGATCACGCCTCATTGCGGATTGAAAATGTATTTTTAGAAAATCATATTAAAAATATGATTTATCTGACGTAGAAGAGAAAGGAATCAAATGTTATGCAAACATTGAGTAATTTATTACATTACTATTAAAATGATTGATCAACTATCGAGGACAATTATTCTTCCGGTGAATTAAAGCTGTGAGCATTATCGCATCGATCGGCAATTCAAACTTTCGCCCGTTTATGTAAACGGACTAAATTAATAGTAGGTAAATAAGCAGTAAATTTATAGCACTGGTTGAACAAATTAATGCGCATGTCAGACAACGCTCGTAAAACAAGGACAAACTAGTTGAAGTTTTGCTATAAACTAACTATACTTACAAGAATAAAGAGTGTAATTACGCATTGAAATAAAAAGTATTAAAATAAATTGATCAATCATGTTGAAATTGTAAAAAAAAAGTCTTAGTTTTTTTTCTCTCTACGTTTAGTTTGTAACTGGACGCGTTTGAGATTGGAAGACGTGCTGGAGGCGGGAGAGCCGTAACATTTTTTTATTATACTAATCTTTGTTAATTGTTGCAGGTGTCGCGAGTGTGTGCGTGCGATTTGCGCCGTGTTCGCGGCGCCGTAGGTGTGCGTCGCCTCTTGCGTCGCGGTGTCTCGCGTCGCGGTGTACATCACGCGTGTTCCTCTCGCGAAAATGCCGGGCGTGCATCCCGTGTGCTGCACGCTGCTGCCGCCGCCGCCGTCGAGCGAGAGAGGCGCAGTGCGTCGGGGCGCCTTCGACGCGGCATGCGCCGCCACCGGACGCACACCCCCTGTCTCCAGCGAGCGTGTGCAAACTCATCATCTGAAATCATCACAAAACAAACAGAATGTAAGTGATCTTTAGTCATACTTATGTCGTACATATCTATGTGTCATCAAGATGTTATTGTTAACTTTTGAACTTTCATTCAAAATGTTTGCGTTGCTATTGAATGGCCACCATGAGAGAATAAACTGCGCATGCGCAACTCACACCCTTTTATCTAACATGGCAAGTAGGGGTACAAATACGAACACGAAGACGAAAAGCGTCTGATACCAAATTTAGCTTCAATGTTGATTAATCCTAAGAGCTTGTTCAAATATAATCATAATAAGTACATTTTTGTTTATTTATCATGTTCTATGGCTGGTCTAACATTATATTCATAGATTGTTGCAACGTGCTGTGTCTGCGCAGTGGTTTTAAAGGTCGATAATGGCCGCTTTTATGTGCTTGATGTCAATGATGTCACCATACACACACACGAACACTAAGGAAGCAATTGAAAGAGGTCATAAACTTCTTAGTCACACTTCAAACTCCCAAAAACATTTTTTCGTTAAAATTTCTTCGATATTTTCGTTAATTTTAATTTTTTTAAATAAATTTTTATAAATTTAATTTCAACGCGTATTTTACTGCCTCTCAGGTGTAAATTTTATTTGATTGTTGATTCCGGCCGGATATCCGTAGATTATATTATCTACTCTGACGCATAACAAATATTTCTGCGACATGACAACGTAAATACTCAAGTTCAGGAATTTTTCTAAGAATTTCTATGCTAGTTGTGTAGAATATAAACATAGATTAATATTTTCATGTAAATAACATGTGCATAACGCACGGTAATGCCGTTTTGCATTTTCCACGAATGCAAAAATGGCAAATCGCTTGCGCTAACTTTATGCGCGAATGCAGATGCGGGCTAGGCGTGAACGTGAGCGTTTTGAGACATCGTCAAAAAACTACTTTGCGCCGCGTGTGCAGCAGCGCCATTCGTTTATTGCATATTTCTTTATTGGCACAATTTTATTCGCCGTCTGCATACCTTTTCTCAGTGTTGCACCACTGCCAATTTGCTAATTAAAAAGCGCAGAGACGTCTCGAGCATTTTAACGCGCGCGCTTTATAGATACGCGTTCTATTCGTTCATAATTTCAAATACTTACGAGGAAAATTTACGAGATATTTTGTTGGCGTATTAATTAATCCACACATATAAATATTATACTACAGAGTAGCTTGTATAATATATCAAATGTTAAATTGTCGATTGCATGAAGAGAACCAAATATTTTCCATTTTGTATTTGGGTTTTGGCTGTGTGTGCGCACCATCTCTACCTATATGTTCGCGTGTGTACTCATTTGTCGGTTATGACCGAGCAAATAGACATAAACCATATACGTGCGTGCCGCCCTCGAGGGACCAGCTCATAACTCGTCCCGCGTGCCAATATCCGCACGAAGGACGCCGAAATTGTTTTGACCGCTGCGAGATGTGCTAGACCTAAACGAGAAAATGCAAAAGGTGAAATGACCACGCACACACACACACACACATAACCTATAATTCACTTCCATCACGTGGAGGTAGCCGTGCACAATATTTCGGTTATATAGTCTTATAAAGTCCGGTTTTACCCTTCTTTTGGCACGTTGATGACTTCTTTCATTTCGCCCAAAGCTGGAAAGGGTTGCCTATTAAAACGCTCATAACTTGCTGCTCATATCTCGCACCATACCAACAACAACGTGTTATTATATTTTTGTTTCAATTTCATATTTTTCCAGTGGAAAATTAGCGATGTGTATGCAACTCCCGACCTCGATTTTATTTCCAGTCGCTCGCAAAGAAAATGCTGAGACGCATTTTTCAGCGAGTAGCAATTCGCTACCATTGCGGCGCCTGGGCAAACACAAACAGTTTTACTGATGCAATTCCGCCAAGGAAACCAACTAGTCCTACATATTACACATGCTCTTGAATATACAGTCAGTCTCAAACAAATTGGCACGCCTCAGTCTTATATCAAGACAGTAAAAGATCCATATACATAAACATACTGTGGATGAGTTTCGCTAAGTCCATTTTCTAATTGAATTTATTATGAGTGCCTCAACCTACAGTCCACAGGCCATGGAAGACGAGGAATGCTCTTTACTTAACTGAATTGGAAAGGATTGCAGGATTGTTTTCTGTTTTTCTAGCTTTTACTGCTGGAACTCACCCAACGCAGTATATTTTTTTCATCTTGACACAAATTTTTTATTTAAAATCTTGTGAATTAATTGTCAGCGTGAAAAATTACGGCGCAGCCGTTAAAAATATGAAAGTTGTCGGGGGCGACACGGGATCAATTAACAAACTGCAAAGTTTCCACGCGAGCGGCCGAAATAAAACGCTTTGCGCATAAAAAAATATCAACACGGCGCAAATTAGAAAACGCGGGGCACTCGTATAAAACTTTTCTTGATATATATCTGTTTCATCGCATCGCATGAAAAATATAGTTGTTATGCGGAACTATATAGGTACATTCAGCGGGCGTGAGTAATTCGGCGCGCGGCGTCCGGGGCGAATATGCGATTTTCGGTCGTAAACTTTAAACTGTTTAATGCATTCCTCGCGTTCGGGCACGGGATTAGCCGAGCAAGAGATAAATTAAGCGATACGCGGCGAGTGCATAATAGTCGGATGACACCGGAGAGTTTGAGAGCTATTAAGAATGCGCCAGATCCGCCGCAACCCACAAGAACACCAACTGCAACCCAATGTACACATACACATACATCAGAAGCGTGATTGCGTGATTCGCAAATTTCCAAACTAATATTACCTTGTCTTAATTAGACGGCGACGTCTACTTGCCCGCTGGGCTCCACGCCGTCCTCATATGACTTTCCAACTCCACTTTAAGCGCACGAGAGCTTTTAACGTGCTTGCGAGAGGTCGGATATAATCAGCTAATTCGCTTGCCGGTCGTCGTGCTTTCGAACTCGTCGAAACTCCCATACCTAGGACCAACTACCTAATACGGGTACAAATGTGTCGCTTATAAAGTCAACAAGCACCGCCCGGGCTGGAATCCCACCGAAACCAAATGTCACCGTGGCGTATTCGTTGATTATTCCGCTCAGCTCGCGAGCTTTATTCGTCTGCAGAGGGCGAATCTTTACATCTTTACAATTTTCGACGATTTTCCAACGCGAATTTTACGCTCGCCATTCGGCTGCAAACGATTGTTTTCTTCGATATACCTGGGATCGAACCACCGAAGCGGGCGTCCTTGTTGCGGTCTTCCATGTTTTCGTGGCTGCGCGGTGAACTGGTCGAGTTGGCGCGTTCGTGCGCTGCTTCCAGTTGGGTGTGGCGCGGGTTCAGATTCTGTGCTCATGCTCATTCTCTACCAGCGTTCGACTTGAACGGGTCACATACTCCTACAACTCGACCTTGTTAACATCTGCATCCAGCAATAATTAATAAGATTAATTTCATACAGCACATATCGAATTTCTCTGCATTTCTGAAACAAAAACAAACAAAATTTAATCAACTTACATTTATTCCTGCTACGTGTGTGTTTTATATGATTTGTGAAGTCTGACTATAACTAATAAATGAGTACAACCCTAGCTAGAGTCATAATAAGATCCAGACATGCGAAGACTCAGAATGAGGTCAATAAATTGTTAATTCCACGCTTTGATGAATCAAAAGTAACAAAAAAACAATTCAAAATGACTGTAACCCACGTAATACTTTCATATAAATTAATTTTTGAAGCGTTGTTCAACATGTGCATAAATTAACTTGTCACAACACGTGTCACGTATTTTATCGTTAAAAAATTACTTTATCAATAGGCCCCGTTATAAATCTACATAAATTTTTATAGAAAATATTTTATCCACTGTTGCTGTACTGCTAAGATGGCTAAAAATGTTTCGGCATAAATATACGAACCTATCAACCTATCGGCGGGCTATGAATATTTTTATCCGAAATTCGTTTTGCTGCGCGCGTTCCGCAAAATGAAGATGAGAAATATTACTTGCAGTCTTCCGCGTAGGTTTATGCGTTCAACGTTTATGTTTTTCATCATCTCAAAATACAGAAGACACAAACAGAAATTACGGTAAAATAAATTTTCGTTTGTAATTCATTGACTCAATAATTCTATTATTGAGTTCAGTATCCAAGTGTAATCTGAGACAATTTCGGTTCATTTCCTTCGAGTTGTTTTTATTTTTATATCTTGCTGTACTCTTTGATACTTGTATAGTTTTATGGTGTATGGTATACTCTAGTTGGTAGAGAGTTTAGACGCAAGTTTTAGTTTAGTTAACTCGAATTTATTTATTGAAAAACTGTAAAACGTCGCTCCAACTTTCCACTTCTTTTCTTTTCGATAAAACTATACATACACTCGCGGAGTAAACTTTATACTCTTTATATTATCGAGCGCGCTCGGGGCTCGGGAGGCAAGTGAGCAATTTAGTTCGGGGCTTGAGCGAAACGTTTTCGTTTCATTTCATCAAGAAACAACGCTGCTGGCGAAAAAAGAAAAACGCTTCCGGACAACAAAACTCAACTCCATGCTTTGACTCCGCGTGCCTCGTTTCCGAATACGATTATTCTATATTACTTTTATAAAGTTTATAGTTTTTCATTTACTTATTGCTGCACGCAAGCCCTCATTCAATGCAAACACAAACAGATAAATAAATTGGGTGTGTTTCCTTTCTTATCACTAATTAGATACCAAGTTGATAAACGTTTTTAGTTCTTTTTGCATTTCTTGAAATTTTGCGGGTAATTCGACTTTTGATGTGAGCAGCGTCCACTTTTATAGATGAACTAAAATAAATAAATAAAAACTGGGTGTACTGTAGACAGGAGCGCGTTTTTATTGCATTAGCCGAGCCAGTAATGGGTTACCCACGGCAGAGCAGCGAAACCTAAAGCAAATAAAACTGTATCTTGACCGTATCGCCTTCCACCGCATAGGAAGTATTCTATTTCCTCTTTATGTCGACGTCACGAGTCTACCTTTTGCCACCTCACCTTTCCGCGCCACGTGAATTAATAATTGAATTATCACAAATATCTTGTACGTTTCTACGATAACCATAAATTTATTATAAGCTGTAGACAGGTAGCTACTATAATTTCGTATCGTGAAAATTTAAAATGGCCGCTCGCTGCAGTTGCACGCACAGTGAAGATAAGCAATGCAATGGCTAATTACGTGTGTTCTGCATTCCTTACTTATCTACATTCATGATATACACGCAGACAACATCCAAGTTAATTAAAATATCCACTTAATTATCAACAGAAGAAATTCTTTCGAAAAAAATTTAATTCCTATTTGTTTATAAAGTGGGTTTGTGAATTGAAAAGAGACCTAAGCTGCAGCATAATGGAATTATATCGTAAAAGTTTTTAATATCCAGCGGCTATCGTCTTGTTGGCGTGCGTGCCGCGCGCTAAATAGATGCAGATGCGAATAAAGTCAGAAATTTATCGACGATTAATGTAATTATCTCGTTATGGCCCTCCCTGAGACGTCGAGGGTTTATTATTTTGCGAGGAAGAAGTTTCTTTCAGTTCGCATTCGTCGTCGTGGCATTTTTATCGACCAACCGCAAGACACTGCAATGGAAGCAGGACGATTAGCGAGAGTTAACGCACTGCAGATGAGAGATCAAGCAAAGACGTCATGATGCGATGAGTGCCAAGACCACGAAGACCACCCAAACAAAATTTACTTTTTTCTTCCTTTTTGTATAATTAAAAGTTACACAAACATATCTCACGAATCTTTGTGTGTGGATGCTTGTAAAAATGTGCGGATTGCATTTGATTAGGATTTTCTAGTACCCAATTGTTGGTGGGAACATGAAAGAGACGCCATTCTAAATTTGATGGCGGAATGGCAAAAACACGCCGCGTAACATGGCGCGCACACCAAACGAGGAAGGAATTTTATGCTGAAACTTCTATATTTTTATAAGAGTAATAAGTTTTTCTTGCCTGATGGCCTCGCCCGGCGCATATAGGTATTTTTTTTACTCCGTCGCCATCGTCGGTGCATCATTTTCTTGAAGGAAAAATATATTGCAAAAGGCGAGAGAGCGCTGAATTTTGTTGTTATACGAGAGCGTTCGCGCTGGGTACGACTTCGAATTTGCGCTGCAACAGTTTGCCTGCGAATGTCTTCATTTTCGTCTCGCATTTCTTACACAATTCCCTGCTCGCCCACACACAAACCAAAAAACATTACTTCGGGACGCGCCAGACATGTTTATATATTACTGTCGTTGTAGAAATTCAGCACAAATATAACTACGTACAGAAAATCCAATTTTAAAGTAAAAAAAAATATTTTTTTGTTTTTGAAATAATTTTACATCCGGTTTGTGATAATTTATTTCGGGCACTGCAGTCCCAGATAGATAGCGTACATATACATGTGTGGAGCATTCAACTTTTATACCGTCCTTCGTTACGCCATGACAGCAGACGGCAGCAAACGCCCTTTCTCGGTTCGCCGCTCCAGTTTTATCTTCTCGACGAAGAGCGCACAGGTCTACGTAAAATTACGCCGGGTTACGTAGCATTATGTCGAATTTGTTTTCCAAGAGGCTTTAAACTTTTGCGCGTTACGTTCCGTCTGCATCTGTTTTTTAGCTCTTCTAATTTGACTACCAGCGCATGCAAATATCTACGTCATGGCAAAAAGCAAATAGTATTTGCAAATAAACAACAAACACAAAACGTCAACTTTTGTCGTTTGATATTTTATGTTACGCCGAAAATTTTACGCGGAAATTTGCAGCTGTGTCTAGGAAATTGATCTTCGTGTGCACAAGTCCTAAAGTTTGAATTACATTTTTCACACCTGCTTTTCATATTTTTACCACCATGTAGAAAATAAACTCGTTTATGCTTCCGGCTCTACCAGTTCCCCATTAATTCTGAGTCACATCAATTGATTAACCCTTATTTATGCAGATTAATTTATTTGGCGTGCCAACACGAAATCAACCTCGTCATTCTTGCATTGCGGGCAAAACAGCATGCAATAAATTATGAATTTTACGAGTGTTAAATGGTCTAATTCTTTCCGAAGTTGTTCAAACAACGCGGCGTATATAAACGGATACTTAAATGTGCACTATGCATGAATTGTGTGTGTGGCTGGTAGGCCTAGACCTACCAGTTGAGAGAGTAAAAACTCTTTAACAACGTTGTGTGCCATTTGCAGCGGCGTTGTGTTTCTTTGTGCATAGTTTGTTATGCATATAGTCATAGTTTAGTTCTTTGCTGTCTTACGCTTATTACACTCGGTTAAGTTATTACGTACGTTTGCATACTGCGAGCCACTCAAGCGTCAAATTAACAGCGTTCATAATTTCTAAATTAAACATTTCATAATGACATAACTTCTAATGTTTTCATACTTATGAGCAAAAAGCGGTTTTATGTGTAGGTGTGACTAAAATATCACATCAATCATACATAAAATTTAGTTACAAATTAGTTAATTTCATGGGACAAACTATTTTTTATCATTTTAAAATTTTAAATAAATCAAAATCGCATTGTTTAAAAAGTTGTAATTCTCCTTGAACTTTAAACCCCTCATTTTGTTCATCAAAATTCATGAATGCAAATGACCCATCGCAAACGCTAAAAACAACAACCCTCCGGTCCTAAACTTCGCATCAAGAAACAATGTAAAACCTCCACCCCTCGGGCGCCATCATTTCATTATCATGCGCACATCATGATAATCGCCATTCGCTCAGATTGCTCCCTTCCGATCAAATGCAAATCCAACACAACATCTTCTTCTAAATTAAACGCAATCAACATGGTAATAATTTTCAATTAACGTTGTGTCGCCAGGCGATGCCACCATGATGCCCAACATGTCCGCGCATGCTGTCCAATTAAAAAGCGCATTCTTCGTCGTCGGACTTGTCGACGTGCCGGCGCAACATTTGTATGCAAATGTGTGCGTTTCGATTCGCGCGCGCATTCTCGCCTCGGCCGGTTGGCTCGCATTTGCATTCAAATTCGCGCGTTTATCTAAATCAGATCTACGGGAATTGCACGTGTACACGACTTTCAGCTTCGACAAGTTTCACTGCATACATGAAAAAATATCTGCGTGGAATTCAAGTCGATTTAGGGAATTTAGTTACTTAAATATGTTAGTACCATAAATGATTAAGGCCACCCAAAAACCGATTTCAGAATGGTTTATGATTAAACAGATCAAAGCGCTTACCGAATCACCAAAATAAATGTCACCTCGATTTTTGCACACCAATCAAAACACATTAATTATATTATCACTGATCTGATATATGCACATTAATTAACGTCCACACCGGATATCAACTTTGTGGCTGTCCGCTCACCGGACGACGTTGAATGCGTCGCAAAATGTTCACATTTGACTAGATCTTCCGACATTAGCTCTGACCGAGTCTCAACTAACGGTATCTCTCCTTGGATGTCGCATACGAGTATTTATTGCGTTTTGTTTGGCGTGCAAGTGCCGTGTTGTCGCTTATTATAAACCATAACGAAGCGCAAACATCCAACACGATGCACCGAGATGACCACGGCTCAGGAAGCAAAAAAAACATTTTATTGCCTGGTTTATGACTGCGCAGTGTTTTGTTTTGGACGCATACCTCTTTTTTCGTCTTGGCTTTTGCATACAGTACGTAACCATTGTGTGCGCTATTACATAACGGGGCTTATAATCCTTTTGCTTTGAAATAGGCGAGTGAACAAGGTCGGGGGTTTGCTTCAAGACGTGGACAAATCGATGTTTGTTTATGACCTTCAATGGGTGATCATTAACACATTTTTTGTCAACGTAAACATCCATCAGGAGTGAAGTAAATGTACCGTTAGTAGTTTAATGTGAGCGACCTTCCAAGGTCGTTAAATGATAGTATTACAAGGGGTTTGGGACCGTTAGTTAAAATTTTAGATTTGAGTCAGTTAGTCAGTTAGTGTTTGATTACAGTGCGTTCAACTTTGGTTACCAATTGTTACCAATAGTTACCATATCATCAATATAAACAAAAACCTAAAAAAGCGTGTTTTTTCTTTGGTGAGTTGTTTTATTTTATTTTATTTTATTAAATTACAAAGTTGTGCGCCGCGTATAATAAAACTTTGTCAATATTAACAACATCTGCTCCACCTTTGTAATTTCTTTGTTTTTTATGTCAACATCGCCGTGGAATCTTCTTGGTGTGTTTGTTTGTTTGTTTGTCATTTTATTATTATTGTTATTCGTCGTCGCTGAACGTATCTGACGTGTATATTTTCTTGTTTTCCTTATTTCCATCTCGCATAAGCTCATTCCGTTGGGCTTATTATCCAGTCGCCCTTCTTACTTTTTATCCCGCACGCATGGCGATTACACCGAGCACTCGTCCGGGTTATTATATGAATTTCTGTGCGATGGCGACGCTTCGTTTGCGCTAATAGGACCGCGTCGACGATATCTAGCTGAAGTTATGGCTGATGATTACTGTAATAAGGATAAGAAGCAAGAAAGCAAGAGACTTGATTCTCCACAGACGGGTCAAATCAAGTAGGAATATAGGAGTATAGTACTAGTACTTACTGGATATGAAGAAGAAGATGGAAACACGCTTTAAATGTGGCTGTCACATTGATGATTGTTTAGTTTTGTATTGCGTGGAATTATAGGCACATACTAAGTGCTTTCAAAACGTTTTTAAACGTAATATTTTAATATCAACCTAATTCTAGTGAATTGACACTGATAAAATTAGTTTAATGATAAAATTCAGAAGCATGACATTTTTTTATTTGTAAAAATCCTAATTTATATTTATTGTTGTATTACGTTGCCTTTTTCTCTGCGTCTCAACATGGTGATGTTATTTTTTTTTTTCGTTTCAAGTGAGATCCATAAAGGCTCTTTGCCAGCGAAAGGCTGGATTTTACTCGAGTACTTTGCATCTTCATGATGTTCAGATGTACGCACGCATTCAGTACGCGCCCTAAGTATAGTACATTGACGTACCACGCGTGTGTACAAAGGAGGAATCCTTTTAGGATTTGAGTAAGCTCGCAGGCGTGTCTTCCATTTCGAAAACTCGTCCATTTGCTTAGAAACCACTTCAACTGCACACGGTGCACAACAGCAAAATAATTTTACCTAACAAGCTTCAATTCAATGCATTCGCATCATTTTTTTTTATATAAATAAATAAATATAAAGTTTGTATATTTGCACTGTGGATTTCAATTCTCTCCATATGCAAAACTGTAAACGCAAGAATGCACATCGAATATGCGCGTCTGAAACATCCCAATCGCCGTTTAGTATCGCGCATCGCTTCACACGCGGCCATTTGCATAAAATCATCGCGTCGACGAAACGCCAATAATACGAATGCGAATTCGAAACGACATTCGAAATATCAAGAACATTCAGCGTGTCTGCAACCCGAACGGACGTAACTTAAACTAAAAGCCGCACTAAAAGCTCTTAAATTATTGTGCGGGTTTTCATTTTGTTGAGTTTCTCGCATTTCAACGCTTGTGCAGCGGATTTTTTGCGCGGAATGCGAAATTATTGCGAATTCTTCTTAATGAAGCATTACATACCGCTCACCATGGACACTTATGATGTCTTATTCGTTAATTAAGTAAAATACAGTTGTTAATGTTGACGGGTCACCAATTAAACGCTTAAATAAAATTTTATTTGAAATAAACAATTTTTTTGATTCAAAAGTTTGAAAAATCTCTGTGTATCTTATGTATCACTTAAGTTGTTGATCTGTTCTTTATTGACGGCTATAAATCGTCTAACGTGCGGTTAAATGCCTCGACAATTATTACATTACTACTGTACCGTTTGCGGTAGCGTACTCGTACGCTAATAAAACGAGAACAATGCAAGACCGCTTCAATTAGATTTGATTAATGGTCGTCTTAATGTCTGCAATGAATACGTCACTTAACACCAATCTCAATATGTTTTTTTCGTTGTATTACCACAAAACTATTTCTGTTAATGATTAACTGTTGATAGGTTTCTTTTTGTTAATAGTTAATTTCGCGGTTTAAATTTATGATGCTCAATGAGTACCTGCCTACTAGTTAAGCTTAAAGTGCGGATGAGTGCACTTAATTGCTGAATTTCTTGCATGCATCTAATAAGTACTCACCTTGAAGGAAGTTGTTGCCGGGGAAAATATTGTTGGACGCGTTTTTCGCCTCGTAAAATCGTAAAAATTTACGATGCAAATTATAACACCTTTGTACTTAACGTGAACTTTAACTTTTACATAGAAAATTTACGTCAACAATAGTAAAAAAAACTAAATTAACAATAGTTTTACAAAAATGTAAATTTTTTACATTAAATGTTTGATTTATTTGCAAATAAATTAAAACTGCGCATGCGTAAATTAAAAATTATATAGTTTCGACTACATTATTTAATTTTACATATAATTACAAGATTTATAATTAATTAAAGTTGATTTTTAGTCGTCTGGAATATAGAATGATTTAATCCCACTTAACAGTTTTTAAAAAATGATTTGTTGAAAACGGAAAGCAGAACATTATTTATTCAAATGTATTTTTGACGTTTTGACTCCGCTGGCGGCTTTAATCTGTCTTTGATCTTTTCCACACTCATAATTATTCGCACACATCGCTTATTTTTGTTTTAATTCGCTTTGGTCCCAGTTGAGAATCACACATGCGTGTCTAATTGTACCCAAACGCTTGCGTATGCAAAACATCAAGTTTTTGTAAAATAAAATTAAAGCCATTTTGAAATATGTATCTAAATTCAAGATGAGCTGGCACTGTATGCAACTCTGGATACAAACGCGAATTTCCAAACGAGTTTGTTTATTAGATTCATAGAGCAAATGCGTCTGCTTCGACTTGTAATAAAATTCCGCATGCAGTTCGCCATTCGCCAGATAGAGACGGTAGCAGCGGAGCGAATATTATATTGAAGTAAGACGCAAGTTGGAGTGGAGAGGTGGAATGTAGACGTAGCGTAGCGCGTTCCTGCTGTGTGCATCCCTGCTGCGCGCATGCCTGAATGTAGTAACATTCGTATCGACGAAACAAGACGCGCAACGGGCAGCCGCAGCACGCAGCAAACTAGACCCGAGAGAGATTGCGCATACTACACTTTCCATCTTCTTCTATAACATAACAAGTATACTGTGGACGACGTCCTCAGCAGCTGCAGAATTCAAGACGTATCGCTGCGTTTCCGTAGTTCAGGCTTTCGTCTCCAGGAGCGCTTCAGTCCAATGCCTCATAACTCTGCGTGTTGTGCATTTCTTGTCTCTTTCCGCACAACACAACGTATACTCGTGTTATTCTCATGGGATCTCTCTCACAGCAAAGACTTTAGAAGGGAGAAAGGTTTGACGAGTCAATCCACGTCGGTCTACACTACTACACACAAACTACACCTACACTATTCCGTTTGTTGTGAGTATAGCATTGAGTTTATGCGGGTTTATGCGGGTTGCCTTGGTAGAGGTGGCATATCGAAACGGAATTGGAATGGGAATGTGTGGGCTATACCTTTGCCGTGCGAGTCACGCTCATTAAGCACACCTACCTGCCGATCAAACGGCGCACCATTGGTTCGGCGAGCTGGAACGACTTCATAAATTATATCAACCGGCGACTTTTTGGCGTTTTCACCACCCTATACACTCGAGGGCAATGCTTGATCCGGCGGCTCCGGGGGGTCAGCCATCATGGATACACAGTGTTGGCAACCACCTCACATCTAGGAAATTTCTAATTTTACTTTCGCACTAATATTTCCGACGATTGGCAGCCATGAAGCGATAAAATCGTACATTTTTCGGATTCTGCCGCAATTAGACCTACGGAGATAATTTAATTTAAAAAAACGAGAGAAGCCTCATTAGCAATTATGCAAATTTAATTAACGCGAGCATTTTAATCGTGCTGACTGGTCGTCTGATGTTTACCCGCGGGAGGCGCGCTACAAAGTTGATTGTGCGATCAATTTTAATTGCAGAAGTTTTAATTTATCGACAGGGTGTTGCAGAGGTAAGAATATTACTTGCCAATGAGCTGGGAAACGAAATATTTAAATATTGTCAACTGAAATCATGCAGAAATTTAAATGCATGGGATTTAACTGGTTGTGGAAGTGAGAAAACAAAATATTACACAATTTTATTTTGAGATGTTCATAAATTTACAAAATATTACAAGTTACAAGTTACAAGTGTATTTCCAATGCAAAATTAATCCCTAGACGGTTTCCGTCGCTTGCGTATCAAGCCAAGAACTGTGTTTCTCTTGGCTAACCGTTAGGTCTTAAATATCACCTTGCAATTTTCCACACGTTAATGATATGCCACCAAAACGAGTTCCCATGATCAGCAAACACACCGGTAT